AATCCTACTCCCTTCCCCAGAAATAATTGCTGTTATCACTTGGCTGATATAATTTGAGAACATTTTCTATGGACTTACATATGTATAAATGTACATATAAAAACATATGGTTTTGTTTTGTTCTTCTATGTAAACAAAATGCTGTATATAATAGTCTGCTACTTGCCTTTTTCAACAGTGTCCCCTAAACATCATTTCACATCAACACATGTAATTCTTTTTAGTTGCTAGTTGTGTTTGCGTTTCATGCTATAGACATTATATAGTTTGCAGTGTCGTTTCTTTTGCATTCTGGCTGCTTTCCATGTCTGAGTGGGGCATCTAGGTCTCCATCAGTAAATCAGCAGCCTCTGTTTTTCGGGGACTGTGCTAACCACCTGAAGGTCAGCTGGAGTGGTTTCAAGTATCAGTGGCAGCAGCAACTCTGACTTGGCAGCTTCCCCGACGGGGAAGGCCCATGCTTCGATGGGTGGTCTCCCACTCAGAGGGACTGAGAAATTTTACCCAAGTTGCACAGGCTTTAGTCGGACCAAAGGCATCTTGCTCCCATCACTTCTTAGATGTGAGCTTTTGAGCAAGTTATTTAATCTGCTCAACCCTAATTTTCTCACCAGTAAAGTAGGGGACATACTGATCATATTAATACATACTTCCAAGTGTTATTATAAAAGGTATGGAAAGCACTTGGTAATCACGTTTTAAAAGTGGTTTTAACTAGCTAGCTTTCATACTGTCATGATTTCCTCTTAATGGCCTCACGAGTTCCCTCTGCTTCCTACCATCCTGGGATATGGTCGGAGGAACAGGCTATGGAAAGATTAGTCCCCAAAAAGCCTTTCATAATAAGGGCAATTATAGTGGAAGCAATACTACCTCCACTTGCCCCACACTGTCTGGCTTCCTGGAGGCTCCTATTGGACCCTCACCACTGGAGTGAGTATATTCAGTTGTTACCATTTTACAGATGAGAAAACTGAGGCTCAAGGGTAGGGGTTGTGAGTATCTCCAGGTCATCCAGCAGTTGTACGAGGAACTTACAATCTGAGCCCAGGTCTTCTGATTCCAAATATGAAGTCCCTGTAAGAACTGTGGTACCAGCTATTACTTAGAGAGATTGTTAGACCCACACACGGCAGCCTGAGACAGGATTCCCTCTCTCACATCCAGTCATGTATGATCCATGAAATATTCCTTAGGGCCCTTTAAAAATGTGCCAGACCCAAATGTGCACTGCACCAAAAGCTGATGACACAGTTAAATGGATGAATAGGACATCTCAGTTCTCTATGGCCAGGTGTGAGCAAACCATGGCCTGGGGATCAAATCTCGTCTGTGAGCCTTCATAATGGTGTTTTACTTTTTTAAATGGCTGGGGGAAAAAAGTCAAAAGAGTTAATATTTTGTGACATGTTTAAATTATGTGAAATTCAGATTTGTGTCCATAAATAAAAATTTTATTATACCACAGCCATGCCCATTTGTTTGTATTGTCTATGGCTTCCGCACCGTAACCACAGAGTTGAGTAGTTGCCACAGAGAATGTCTGGGACCCACTGAGCCTAAGTATTTACTATCTGGCCCTACATAGAAAGATACAGAAAGTTTGCTCTCCCTTGCTGTAGAGCAGTCACTATTTAGCCATTCATGTTATATACACTCAC